CTATTTCTATTTCTATTTCTATTTTCTTTCTTACTTATTCACTATTCTTTCTTATTTTCTTATTTTTTTTCCTAATATTTGTGTTTTTATCTTGTTAAAAATTTATTCAATAAAAATTATATTCTTTTTAAAAGAAGATGGGGATTCACAGGGGAGGACAAATGATGTCACCTGTGCCGTGATGTCACTATGCAAAGAATGTAAATGATATGCTGTGCACTATTTCCCTATGATGTCACTGGTGCAAATTACACAGTTGGGGCCTCAGTTGTGGATCTCGGGAAGTGCTATCCTGGCCCTGCAGGGAACTGAGACCCCATCTGTACAGGATGGTGGCCTAGCGTAGTATTGCATGCTGCAAGTTTTGAGTGACCTCATTTCATTGCAACCCAAAATCCTTTTCTCTCCAACCCTCCTTATGTCTTCGAACAGCCCTCAACTCATCTTCGACGTGGCCAGCGCTACGGCCACTGAGGTTCGCGCCAAGCACAACTATTTTGTCTCTGTCGGCTATTATAATGACCACATGGGCTTGAGCTGCTTCAGCCCTGTCTTGAACATCATGCGGCACCCGCTCTGGGGCAGGAACCAGGTATCAGTGATTTAGGGCCAAGGGTAGGGAGGGTAAGGCTTGAAGTCCAACATACCTGGAAGCTCCCAGATCAGGGAAAACATGTCAGTGGCTTTAACTGTCCCAAGAAAAGTCCTCTGAAATGAAATTAGTGCTGAGTATTTCCAAAATTTGTGAAGACCAATCATACCTGAATCTCAGCAGGGATTGTGCTGAAGATCACAAATATTCCTGCTCTTAGCCATAATAATCGCCTGAGCTGAAAAAGGAGACCCCAAAGTTAGGTTAACACACTCTTGAGATTTTTGACCTGTTAGAAATTTAAGGTAGAACCAAAGAACTGCTAGGTTTCTTCTTCTCAGAAATGGGATAACCAGAAGAAATAGAAATGACTGACTCACTGATCAGAGGCTTTGTTTCTTCTTTGACCATGTGTATTAGCTCTAGCTTTTAATGCTCCTAATATTCTATATTTCATTTTAGAGTTAGAGGTTTAGGATTACAGTATTAATATCTTGTCACGTTATACGCCTACTTTGAAGAATCGCCTTGGTCTGGTGCGTTCTGCTTTGTATTTCTCTTTATTGGTTTGCCTGATTGTTCTCATGTTATGCTTGCCATTAACTGAAATCAATATGGAGTGGGAGGAATAGGATGGGACTGACCAGCTTGTTTCTTTTCCCACTCTTAGGAGACATATGGGGAGGATCCATTCCTGACCACAGAGCTGGGAATTGCATTTGTGAAGGGGCTGCAGGGTGACCACCCCCGTTACGTCAAAGCTAGTGCTGGCTGCAAGCATTTTGATGTCCATGGGGGTCCTGAGAATATCCCCATATCCCGGTTTATCTTTGATGCCAAGGTCAGTGAAAGAGGATCAGAGATGGAGCTTCTGTCCAGTGGATTTCTGAGTTGGGCCCCTTCCTTGCTGCCAATTTCTAGTGTTAGACCCATTTATTTAGTCCCAACAGCCTAGTTTCTTGTAACCCTCAGAGCAACAACAGACACAAGAGACACGCCCCTCTGGATAATGGGAACAAGCCCTCTGTGACTTTGTCCCTGGACTTGTGCGCCTTAATCATGGTCAATGATTTTCCTTCACATATGGGTGTTGTCTGAATCTGGATCAACCACTGTCTCCTAACCAGAATATGAAAGATTTAAGTTCTGGCATGACAAACATAGAAACTGACACCTGCTTTAGGTTCAGCTGATATATTTGACCATCATAAAGCTATTCCTGGGGGATGTATACCTGCTTCCAGGTAGCAGGAGCCAGGAAGCAATTGCAGCAGGAGCTGAGAGTCCTTGTCTCCAGAGAAGCCAAGTACTTGGCCAGTCCAGGGCAAAGAGAATAATGTCTCTACTGCCTGTACTTTAATGCAGCTGAGAAATGGGAGATAAACAAGGGGAAATTGAAAACGTGAGCAGCAGTGCTCTATCCATGAAGGCCAGTAGATGACATTAGTGCAAAATCAAGCAAGGAGGGTGCCTTGAGGAGGACGAGCTTCAGGAACAGCTCCAAGGTTGTTGGTGACTTGCTCAGACGTGCCCAGAGGGGCCTCTGGGATGGTGGCCTCCCCCATGAGCCACAGGACCAACCTGCTCCTTTGAAATACGGTGTTATTTTCCTGTCCTCCTTAACCAGGACAGCATCTAGGTGCTTCTGGCCCAGATTTGCATGTTCATTCCCATCTCTCCTGTGGACAACAAATGTGGATTCCTCTTCAGGAATTCAGCATTTCCCTGCATTGACTCGCTCTTGTGTAGCTTGTGGGATGATGACCTTCTCTGATGACCTTCTCTACAGCTACAGAAGCTAAGTAGCCTTGCAGGGTGCAGAGAAATGAACATGAACATTCCCTGTGCGGATGCATCCATGTTGTTAACAGGAGTTCAGCTCCACTTGAGGGCATCTTTATCTTTTTACCATTCTTTCTTTCTGAATAAATTCCCACACCAGGATTAGAAAATGATTTTGGGTGCTTAGGCGTCCAGGGCACAAGGGTCAGGGTAATGCTTGGATCAGGGCCATCTTCTCTAACACTTGCTAAGAGAATGGGATTTGTAGTCCAGCATCTGGGGAGAGCAGATGGTAAAGAAGATAGGTTAGAAAGAGGAGTGAACAAGGAGGCCTCACAAGGTGCTTATGAATGTAAGATATTTAGTAAAAAGAATCGATTTGGGAGGAGTTTAACAAGCCATGCTCAGTGGGCTGGCAAGACAGCGAGGACATGGTGGTGTCTCTTGTGACAGGTGGAAGAGCGTGATTGGCGCATGACTTTCCTGCCTCAGTTTGAAGCCTGTGTGCGGGCTGGAACATTCAGCTTCATGTGCAGCTACAACAGGTATGTTCCCTCAGGGCATTCCTGAGAAGGCAGTGATGATGATGTCATACATAATGGCATCATGACGTATGAGATATCGTGGCGGCTTGTACTGGACAGCTGTGTTTAGCTCACAATTTCTAGTGAACTAGAATTTGTAAGAGAGTTTTCAGAACTTTACCCAGGCCTTTAGCGAGGATGAGTGAAGCCCCCTTGGATTGCGTGGGTCTGGGTTTTTTTCCATTTCAATCTGGCTTCTGTCATCTTTGCTATGTTTTATTCTTTATTTTTGTTTCTTATTGTATTTAAAAAAAATTTTTTTTACATGAGAGCTGCCCAGAGTCATTGGGAGTTGGGCAGCATACAGACATCAATCAATACAGCATACAAACATCAATCAATCAATCAATCAATCAATCAATCAATCAATCAATCTTGATTTGTGGGGTGGACAGAGAAAGTTCAACTTTTCAAGTTTATTTAATGGGCCTAAAATGTACCATTGTCAGTCCAAATGATGGCTGGATTTGCCTCTTATTCTAAGCCATACAGTAATGTGGTTTGTTAGCATAAACCAGCTGTTGAATCTGTAAACCATAGTTTATGACCATGCTATGTATGAACTTTAGCTTAATTAACCAATCATGACATAGGCTTGTTTAAGTCCACAGGATTTAGTGCAAAATACAGTGTAAAACTCCTCTGGTTCATTTTTTCCCCTTCATATTAAGACAACAAAGAACATTTACTTTCGGTTCTTATAGCCTTCCTTGGCAAGAATTTTAGCTGGATAACTATACTCCATGCAGTTTAGCTGAAAATCTTCTGGTGCTATTTGAGTTTTGAAATGCCTTCAAAAGTGATTCCTGCTGTAC